TTCTCTCACCTAATAATCCACAGCAAGTAAAAGTCAAACTTTTAAGTTGTCTTGGCTTATTCTATGATGCTTGAAATAAAAAAATTTTAGGAATTTATTTCCGTACATAAATTGTATGCTATAAAAGAAAATACTTAAAAAGAATATTCCATCAGATTTCAGTGTTTATAGCTTAGCAGTCAGAAATTATCAAAAATATTACAAAATTCAAGTGAGAGCCATCAGACTCTTCAATACTATTCTTTTGAATCATTTTTGGCGTCTACTTGCCGATGTCTATTTACTTTTTTATGCAAGGTAGCATTATAAATAGTAATTGTTGCTAGGAATGTGTTAAGCGCAAACAGAACTTTTAGCTTTTAGCTGCCAAGACAAATCCTATTTGAGCTTGCTAGTTTTAAGCCTCTGTGATTGCTCTCCATATCGTGAATGCTATTTTTATTATAACCGAAAGATCACTAAAACCAAAGCAGAGAAATTTTCATTAATTATTTAATAACAAAACATAGAACCACAATATCTGTGTACCGAAAAACCAAGTTACATTTAGCGCTCGTCCACTGTATAGTTAAATTGCGCTGTGCAAACAGCTTCCGTAATGGAATTTCGCTTTGTCTAAACGACCAACGCTGCTTCTCAACAACGCTTAACGATGAGGATGGAAGGACCGGAGAATAAGTGTCTCTTTGTCATTGGTGAGAATTTATTGACAAAAATGAACCAAAAAAGATTTGGCAGTTATCGGAGGCCGATGATGATCATTGCCAAACTGCTCTGTAACATTTATTTTTTTTTTTGCATAACTATGCTTTGAACTGTCTCCATAAAAGGATATGCCGTCGTTTTTTTGTCTCTGTAAAAGTCATCAAACTTTTTGTCAGCGATCTTTTGTTGTTGGTTTTAGTGAATAACTTCTACCGCTGCTTCATTAGGTTCATTTTAAACCCTTAAAAGTTAGTAAGCGTAACTAAGTGGTTAAGTTGTAAGCCCTGTATGTACGGGAAAGCCGTAGAAATAAAACTTTGGCATTTCATTACATAATCCACTTGACTAAGAATTACTAGGCGTTGCTTACACCCAACC